CTGCGCTCCGCCGCTCCGCCGCCTCCATGGAGCGCCGGCCGCGCCGCCTCTGATGCCCGGCCCGGCGCGCACCATGGGGCCGCTGTGGCTCTGCTGCCTGCCCCTCGCCCTCCTGCCCCTGCTCGCCGCCGTGGAAGGTAAGGGAGGGGGGCGCGGGAGGCGGGGGCCCTGCGGGGAAGGGCGAGCCCCCCCTCTCCGGGTTCCCCCCGWTTTTTGGGGGGTGGCACTTCTCCCCCTGCCCCCCTCCGCGGCGCACGCCCTTCGGAGGGGAGGCGAAGTTTGGGGAAGTGCTGCCCCAGCTGGAGGTGTCGCCGCCGGAGCCCGGTGTGTGGCGTGTGCCCCCCCAGGCCCCCAGACCCTCCCGATGGCCGGCCGCCCTTCTCCCCGCCATGCCTTGGCCAAGGTGGGCATCCCCGGCCGCGGCGGAGGCTCCCCCGGGGATGCCCGGGATTCACCGCCCCGTGCCCGCCGCTGCTCTCGGCAGAGTCTTTGGGGTGCCCCTCCTGCAGGCCTTGCCGGCGTTCCGGAGCTGGTGGCCGGCTCCCCGTTGGCGCCGTGGCGTTCCCGGCGTCCCCAGGAGGAGCCGAGCTCCCCGCCGAGGTCCCCGGTGCTCAGACAAAGCAGAGTGAGGCGGCAGGTGGGGAGCTCCGGGGCTGGGTGTGCGGGGACGGCGCAGGGTGGGAGCCACACGGGGGGCTCTGGGCAAGGGGAGACGCGTTCTCCAGCTCYCCAACCATCCCAGCCGTGCCTGCCTGCTCCCACCCGCCCGCTGCACCCACACCCTGGGAAGTGCCGGAGAACTGGGCTGGGCAGGGGCGAGGGCCAGGTGTCAGGCCAAAAACCGGCTGGTCCCGGAGCGGTGTGGTCCATGGATGGCTGGCCATTGTGGAAGGGTTGTGTCCGAGGAGCTGGGTGGCTCTGCTGTCCCTCCGGCTCCGTTGGGCTGGTGGCAGGCTGGGTGGCCGCTGCCGGCCCTGTGCGTGCCGGGCGGTGGGAGCCACTCGGACGGTGTTTGTCTGGAACATGGATGAGGCACCATTTATTAAGTTGGAGTTTTGGGAGATGACTCATGGGTTGGCCAGCTATACATCGTGATATTTACAATATGGGAGCTTGGCATAAATAGGACTATTTACGTTGCAGCGGAGAGCGCTTGCCAGCTCTGCTATTCAAATGAGCCCAGCATGGTTTTAATTATGGGGGGGAGGGTTGGGGTGATGAGCGTGTTTGTGGGAGCATACGTGTCCGTGCAGGACGTCTGGCCCCATCCGCTGGTGGCCTTGACACTTCCAGCGGGGTCTGGGCTTGGCCGGTGGGGCCCTTGGCCATGCCGAGCTGGCGCTGCCAAGCGCGGCGTGCTGGGTGCCTTGGGGAGGGACACGGTGACACCTCCGCCCTGTCCCTCCTGCTGCCCCAGAGGTGCTGCTGGGCGGTTCTGTGGGTCAGCTCCCGGGGCTCGGTGTACTTGGAACGTGAGTGGCTTTCCCACCGTCATGGCAGGAGCAGCGGGCACTGGATGCTCGAGCGCCAAAGGATGGGGAGTGTCACTGGGAGTGAGGCGCTGGCCAGTGCTGGCGGGGTGCTTCACCCACCTGAGATGATCGCTCTAAGGTGTGCTCCTCCCTTGTCCACGGACGGGGACGCGCCTGGTGAGATGGTCAGCGGGCTCCCAGCGGCCATGTCCAGCGGGGTCTGACCGCCTTGGTTTGGGCTTGGCGTGGTCCCCGCAAGCTCCCGCTGTTGTYTCTTGCCCTGTGTGTGTGTGGCGGGGTTGTGATGGTCACTCACAGTGCTGGTGTGGGCAGCCAGCCGCCATGTCCAGCCTTTCTTCAGGAGAGCTGGCAAGATGAAAGCGTGTGGGATGCAGCTCCCTGGGCGTGCCTCCGCTCTTTCCTTTCTGGAGCTGCCTCTTCCCGCTGCTCCTAAATGCTGTGGTGTCCACCTGCACCTCCAAATGCTCTGGATCCCTCTGGTGAGGACAGACTGACCCAACGGCAGCCGCTGACCATGGAGGAGATGGCTGGACCCCACCAGCCAGAGGAACCTCCATGGCGGCGATGCCCTCCATCACCGGCTCCAGCGCATTCCCAGGGCCAAAATGGGGGCAGAAAGGCTTGTCCAGGGGAAAAACAAATTCTGGAGGATCCTGCCTCTTGAGTCCTGTTTTCGGCTCTGCCACAGAGCATTTTGGTACTGCTGGTAATTTCACTTGTCTCCTCTGTGCCTCAGTTTTCCTAATTACAAGGCGTAAAATAATCCAAGCGTCTTTCCCAAGGGAGCCGCGAGGTTTTGTTAATGAACATGACAAAGTGCTTTGGGATCCGTGGTTGAAAGCGCAGCCTTAGTCAGTGTGGCTGTGTGTGGGGTGTTTATTTATCTACRTGCTTTATATTTCTCTGTGCACTATATATTCACTTGCATTTAACAAACCTTAATTAGAAACAAAGCCGATAGGGAAGGAAATATAAACAGGAGTGTGCATGGAAATTGGAAGTTGATTACTCACTGGCCAGCAGAATGCATGGCTTGGGCTCGGGAGAGAAGGCTGTTTGGTTAGAACCGGCTCTGTTAAAAGGAAATGTGAAAAGAACGTAAAACATAAATCAATATGGAAAACAGGGAGGTGGATGACAACGTACATAAAGCAGAGGTTAGGAATTGCCTATAGTTGTGAAGGCGGTTGGAAGGCAACGTGTCTGCAGCTGAGAAAGTTCAGGCTTCTCAAAGGAAAGTTTTTGTGTGTTTTTCAAAAAAAAAAAAAAAACAACAAAAATGAGAAAACCCAAACCAGAAAGTCAGGAACAAAGGAGTCCTGGAAGGGTCTGGATCCCACACCGGTTGGTAACGCCGCTATCGCTAACGGCCCCGCTTTGTATTCCTGCTGCGTAGGCTGCGCGCCGATCGCGGGACTGACGCTCCCGAGGTATTTTGGGGGGAGCTGGGAAGGACACGGAGGTATTTTAAAATCAACAGCCTGGCTAACTCACGTGCGAGGCGCTCTTCACCCCGGTGGAGTTAACTTTTCACAAACCTTGCGGTGCTGGCAAGCTTCCCGAGGGCTGGAGGAGAGCCAGCCCTGTGCCAAAAATGCAAAAGGAGACATGAGATGGCCCTGCTATCAGTGAGGGTAGCAGTGGGCAGCATGGAGCCGGCAGCACAGAGGCAGAGACAGGCTCCCATGGACCACAGAGAATCACCCAGCACGAGTTTTGCTGGGAAACAGGATCACGGGTGATGGGAATCRATATTAAATATCAACTATGCTGGGCAATCCTAACCCTGAACCCAGCCTTGGGCTTGGAGAGGGAGCAGGAGGGGGCAGGAGGGCTGTATCCATTCCTGGGGTGGGTATTCCCAGGGTGTGCTGTGGCTGAGGTCAGGAGTCTCAGCCACAGCCACGGACATCCCTGCCCATTCTTYAAGCAAGCTGGGGACAGGACTTTAGTGCTTCTGTGTCATTAACAGTGARTTATAATGTACATAATATATATTGCACTCTCAGACATACGGTGGGATTGTTGGGGGGTCCTGTGCAGGGCCAGGATTTGGACGGGATGATCTCTGTGGGTCCCTTCCCACTTGGGATGTTCTGTGATTCTATCGTATGCAGTATATTTAATTTCATGTATGCTATACCATACTGCAGTTAAAACRTGGTCTGTTCTCCTGTAGCTGTGCTGARCACCCCCACAKCCYCCTCCARGCCCCAGGAGAYGCCAGGGACACAGGGCTGGTYGGGACTCCCCAGATTTGTAGCCTCYGTGGAGRAAGATTGGASCCATCCCTTCAGGGTTACGGTCACTCCAGGGCATTTCTTTGACCTCGGTGCTCCAAGGCTGTGGATGTTCCAGGTGTGTCAGGACCATGGGGGCTGCAGGAGCCTCCCAGCGAGCCCAGCATTCTCTGGAGGGATGCAGCAGAACAGCAGGTCCAGGGGAAAATGCAGGATCTGTCAAGAGCTGATCCCTCCTGCATGCTTGAACTCAGAACTGTGAACGCTTTCCTGAGACCGGGAGGGGAGCAAATGTTTTGGGACAAATGGGACCGAGGAGCAGAGCAGAGCCTGTGGTTTTGGGCTGGCCCTGTGCCGCTGCTGCTTTCCCCTCCCCTCCATCTCCTGGGTTAATTTTTGACAAGGCACATTCCTTGCACCCACTTGCCCTTKGCGTTACAGGGCAGCAAAAGGGAAAGCTCCTTTTGGTGACCAAATAAATCGGTGCCTCATTTGAACATCCGTGCTGCTGCCCTCGCTGCTCTGCTCTGTGGCTTTTCCGGGCAGGAGCAGCACTCCTCTCCATCCCTGCTGACTTTCCAACTTCTCTGGGTGACAAAAGCRTAGGGAGGAGATGCTGTAGGGGACAAGGGCTCAGGATTGACACGGCCAGTGATGTCCCCCAGCTCCTTGTGTCACCCCACAGAGGGTATGAAAGGGACTCAGCTGTGCCTCGGGGATGCTGCTGAGGGATTTGGGGCTGTCCCCGGGSATGGGAGCAGCAGTCCCCTTGGAAACAGGCTGAGGACCTGCCTGCACTAGTCAGGAGCCTTTGTGTGCACATACCTGAGCTGCGGGAAAGAGGGGTGGGCACCCACGACCCCGCCCAAGGAGCTGCGTAAATACTGGAGCTGCGACAGCTCCCAGAGCGATTTGGGGCAAGGGATGAAYGGGAGCCTGACCCTCCACTCCTGCCCCAAAATGCACCCGCTCCCCCCACACCGGGATTGTGCAGAGGGTGGGAGCAGACTTCCCATCCTGCCCAAAACCCATTTTTACCGAGGAAGAGCCCCATCAGCTCCCACTCTGGTTTGCAATCCCTTCCCAGCCGGGATCTGGTTTGCAGAGAGGTCGGGTAAAGCACGGCTGCCAGTTGGGTCTCTTTGGGATGGGGGGAGCGGGTAATCCTCGGAGGCAAAAGTTCAGCCATTAGATAAGGGTGAGGATGGGGCCTCCTGTGATAAGGGGCTGATGTGTGTGCGTGCAGCGTGGGCTGGGTGGGAGGGAGAGGC